GCACACTACAAAAAGCCCATCACAATTTGTAACACATTCAATTTATATAGCAATGTCTCTCAAGCATTATTTATGAGATGAGAATTTCTTGTCAGCAGTTAATAACCTATCCAGAATAGAAGAGAATGGAAAAATTATTTGAATATACATAAGAAAATCTCTCGACAGAAAAGAGACTGTGTTTGTGTTTTAAGCACATGTGCAGTGGCTGTTTTCTCTAAAGGTGTCCTACAATCCTTTTAAATACAAGTATCTTAGAGCATGCTATAGTGTTGGAGGTGCTGGGATGATTGACACCGTTTTAAAAGAGGATAAGCCAAAGAAACTTTGCCCTACTATTGTTGCTGTTATCTGCTGTCAAATTGCCTCTGACACACAGCAACCTTATGCATGAGTGACCTCCAAAAGATCCCTATCAAGCTCTTGCAAACTCAAGCCTGTGGTTTCCTTTATGGAATCGATCCATCTCATATTTGGTCTTTCTCTTTTCCTGCTGCCTTCAACTTCTCCTAGCATTAATGTCTCTTCCAGTGAATCTTGCCTTCTCATGATGTGCCCCAAAAGTTGACCAGCTCATTTTCTTTTTGCTTCTAGAGGAAGTTGAGTACTGGTTTAGTCTAGGACAAGCCTGTTTGTCTTTATAGTTGTCCAGGTTATCCACAAAGCTCCCTTCCAGCACCATATTTCAAACAAATAATTTTCCCCTAACTTTCTTCACTATCTGGTTTTCTTCACTGTTCAGGTTTCACACTGGATATAGTAGTCAGGAATACAAGAGTATGGATGATTGTGAACGTGGTCTCCAGTGGCACATCCCTACACTTAATGTTTTTAATTCCTTCATGCTGCCCTTCCAAGTCTGAGTCTTCTGATTTATTGGCAACACCCTCCATTCGGATTGTTGATTCAATCAAGGTATAAAAAACTACTATTATAATTTCTTCATTCTTGGCGTTAAAGTTGTAAAGTTCTTCTGTGGTCATGATTTTTGTCTTCTTCATGTTCAGGTGCAGTCCTGCTTTAGCACTTTTGTCTTTCACCAAAAGTTGGTTCAAGTCATTGCTGCTTTCTGCCAGTGAGACAGTGTCATCTGCATATCTGAAATTATTGTTTCTTCCACCAATTTCACTTTTTCTTCACCCAGATCTAGTCCAGCTTTCCATATGATATTTTTAATGTACTGGCTGAACATATATGGAAATAAAACACACCCTTATCTGATACCTTCATCCATAGGGAACCGATCTGTTTCTCCATATTTTATCCTAACAGTAGCTTTTTCTCCATAATTCAAGTTATGCAACAGGACAATCATGCACTGAGATACACCAATTTCTTTCAGAAGAATCCATAACTTGCTATGATCCACATGATCAAAGATTCTGCTATAGTCCATAAAACATCGCGTGACTTTTTCCTGAAATTCTTTGGTGTGCTCCAGAAGCCAGTGTGTATCTGTGATATGATCTTGAGCACCTCTTCATTTTTTGAATGCAGTCTGAACACTGGGTATTTCTCACTCCATATAGAATAAAAGTCAATGTTGTAACACCTTAAGCTTCACTTTGCTTATACAGGAAATTAATGCAATAGTCCTATAATTACTGCATTCCCTGGCATTTTGAGAATTGGAATGTATATCTAACATTTCCAGTCATAGACCACTGCTTTGTTTTCCATATTTGTTGTCGTATTCTTGTTAGGATGTTGACAAATTCAATCTCTGCAACCTGAAATAGTTCTATTGGTATTCCATCTATCCCTGTGATTTATTTGTTCTAAGTATTTCCAAAGTATCTTTCACTTTGCTTTTGAAAATTGTAGGTTCTTCATCACAGGATTCTATTTCAAAGGAATTTGTCCTCCTTTTTCTCTTCTAAACAATTTTTCAGCATATTCTTCCCACCTTTTCTTTATTTTATCCCAGTCAGACAGTTGTGTTTCCCTGTTTATTTTTAAGCATTCCTAATTTAGCTATAAATGTCCCTTTGACATCTTATTTTGGAAGCTATCTCTTGTTTTAATATTTTCATTATTCTCTTCTGTTTCTTTGCACTGATTATTTTAATAGTTCTCTTTGTCTGCATGTGACAGTAGTTTAAAAGTTGTATCCAGGATTCTGACCCTAATTTTGTCCCCTTTTGCTTTTGCTTCTCACCAGTTCTTAACAATTTAAAGAGTTTCTTCCATCATCCATCTAGGCTTTTCCTTCCTTTTTACTTTTCTTCTTAACTACAAGAATAGTTCTTTTGCATTTTCCCCTAATATCCCTGGTTTCAATTCACAGTTCTTCTGGTTCATCGTCAGTTACATTTAGTAATGTAAACCTGTTCTTTATGTGTCATTTAAATTAAGCAGAAATGTAATTTAAATTATATTTTGGCAAGATTATTCTTTTAGCTTTCTTTTTCAGCTTTACTTTAATTTTTTATATTAACTATGAAAATTTTGAATTTTTTTTCAGTTCATTTTTTGTATTAAGAATATAGTTAGTACCACAATCTGCTCCTGCTCTTGTTCTGGGAGAGAGAATATAGCTTCTCTGTCTCTTACTTCCAATTATATAGTCTATTTGATTTCTATATTGGTCATCTGATGATGTCCACATTCAGTCATCTGTTTAGTTGTTTGCAGCATGTATGTGCAATAAATAGATTGCTGGCTTTACAGACTTCTATGACTTGTTCTGCTTTGTTTCTGACCCCTAGGCCAAATTCTCCAACAACATTTGGTTCTACTTTGTTTCTTAATTTTGCATTCCAGTCACTAGGATTATCAATATGCCTTGCTTCGGTATTATCTCCTGGACGCTTGTGCAAAAGCTTTCAATTTCTTCTTCTTAAGCATCTACGTATAACTGGAGTATAGATTTGAATGATGGTTATGTTGATAGGCTTTCCCAGAAGTCTGACTGATATTATTCAGCCAGATCTTGCATTATAGCTCCCAACAGCCCATGCTACATCTTGCTTCAGTATTATAGCCACTCTGTTTCTTCTGAGTTTGTCACTTCCAGAGGAAAATACTTAATAGTGTCAGACTGAAAACCTACCATTGTAGTCCACTTTTGTTCAGTGACATCATATATTGCAATATTTAAACCTTCCATTTCTTGCTTTATGATTTCCAGTAATTTGATTCATCCTTCTCACATTCCATGTTCTAAGTGTGTGTATTGTTTAGCACTGGGCTTTCCTTTCACATCTGTGCCTGTTCACCAATAGACATCCTTTCAGCTTTAATCCAGTTGCATCATTAGTGACAGGTCCTCAGATTTCTATGTAATCCCTTTCATTGTGAGGAAGCCATGGAGGCTCTGAGATGGGAGGGGAAAGTCTTTAATTACCAAAAATTGCTGCAAGTGATAAAGGCATTTTTTATTTTCTATAATTAAATACTTCCTCCTTCCATTCTGTGGCTTGATGGCACCCTGAGGATGAAAGGAATGACACAGAAGCTGTGGGACATTTTGGAGAGAAGTCAGAAATATAAAATTTTCCAAAAAAACAAAAACAAAACAAAACAAAACAAAAAACACCCACTTTTGCTGATGACATCATCAGCCTTATGAATTGCAGCAGCAGGATTTTTACTTATTATCACTCTGTCAAATGAGGGACGTGGTGGCGCTGCGGGTTAAACAACAGAAGCCTCTGTGCTGCAGGGTCAGAAGACCAGCAGTAGTAAGATCGAATCCATGCAGCAGAGGGAGCTCCCGTCACTTGTCCCAGCTCCTGCCAACCTAGCAGTTCGAAAGCATGTAAATAGATAGCATGTAAGTAGATAAATAGGTACCACCTTGGTGGAAAGGTAATGGCGTTCCATGTCTAGTCGCGCTGACCACGTGACCACGGAAACTGTCTTTGGACAAACGCTGACTCTATGGTTGGAAACAGAGATGAGCACCATGCCCTAGAGTTGGACATGACTGGACTAAATGTCAAGTGGAACCTTTACCTTTTACCTTTATCACTCTGCGAAATAGGATCCTGATACAAGAATGAGTTTAAAGCTTTTAACATTTTGTTTGGACTGCCTTCTCTTATCAGTAATGATTTACAGAATACTGTACTGAGTAATCAAACTGTCATCAGATTTGCATTTCTGGGCACCTCTAAAATAGTAATGTAGTCAGATTTTTGCTGTCTAGATAATTAGACTTATATGGAAGTCTCAACTCTGGTCACACATATTGGTCCCTTTTTATTTTTAGGCTCCTGAAACAAGACTTCAGAACACACATTATTCCAGAACAGCACTAGGAACAGACATATTCGAGAAGAGTAGGTATTAGCTCTGAATATGTATACAAGCAGCACACCGTATTGGTTCTGTAACTCAGCATACTGGCACATAGAGGGAGAATGACTAATGTTATTGGAAAAAAGGTCAAGACACTTCTCTTACACACTCTTAAGTACATTATAGCAACTGGTATATTACAGCTGTGTTATGAATTACTTCATACTTTTTTTAGCTTACCTGAGCAGTTTTCCTTATTTAAATAAAGAGCCACTAATACATGATGCCTCAAGGTACCACACACAACCCTCCTTAATTCATATAAAGCAGTGCTGTAGTAAATAGCAAAAGCTCTGAAAATTCTCAAGTTCATGTACTGGAGCTCTTGCATGTGTAAAAAGTTAAAGAGTCACTAGATTTGACATGTTTTGTTTGTGCAAGAAGACTGTTACATGTGATAGCATAAAAGATTTCATAAACTTTTCTTATTAAGGAAACGTTTACACACTGGTATGTCTTCATTTGGCTGTGTAATTAACTTTTATAATTGTCTGTCTATGCAGAAGAGTGCAATGCTTGTGAAGGGCTTAGAGACTTTTGAATTTACCAGACTGTAAATACTTCAAATGTGTCACATTGTTTCTCTACTAGTAATAGATGTGTCACAACATCACAACTCATACTTTCCCAATATGCAAGGGAGGTTTAATAGGACTCTACAGGAAACCTTAATCTCAAAACTGGCAGCCAGTCCTTACCACAGCGACATGATCCCAGTTCCTGTTGTACCAGTTCCAGTTTTGTTTGGCACTGGAAACACCTACGTCTGCTCTTCTGTTTCGAACGGCTGATTTCTTCAGGTCTGTCATTACTGTCCTCCAGTAACCGTGGTCGTTTCTCAGGAGAAGCCTCGTTCTCCAACTGTGAATCTGTTATTTGGGGAAAGCATTTGGGGTGCAGTGTTAGCTTTTTCTTCAGCAAGGCATGTGCTCTAGTCACAGAATTAATTATGTGTATAATTATGTGTATATTGACGGCTCGACATAGTGTGCTTTTAAAAATCCCCCTCACATACAGTCAATTATCAAGCACAAGGTTAGTAAACTATCTAAGCGAATATATCTAAGCTTTGTTCTTCAGAAGACCCCTTCCTGATTGATAAAACTAAATACAAAATAAAATGCTTGCGGTTTTGACTTCTTGTTGACACATGGCGAGAGAATGCTAGCCTGGACAATGAGAACATTTGTTTTTCATCTCATTTATAGATCATACTATACAGCTTTAGCCACAATATCTCCATCCAGACCAATGTTGCTTCTGATGAAAAAAAACAACTGAACACACTTCAGCCCATTTCCTGGCTGAGCATGAGATACATTTTTTTAGGACACAGTTTGTTCCAATAACCAAACGAAGGCATATGAAAGCACCATACTGTGCGTTCTTCCCCCTACAAATATAACAATCTAAATGTAAATGATTACACACAGCAAGATAAACTAAACACAACATGTACATGCTGCTACAGACTCAAAGGATTTCTTTAAACCAGAAGAAGGCATTACGTATATTAATAACCTTATTTGTAATGTTTGTCTCTCTTGGAAAAATGATGTTGTTAGGAAAAAAGAATAGGAAAACCCTTTTCTTACCAAAACTATAAATTGAAAAGTGCTTGAGGTAAACCATCTCTAAATCAGAGAAATGAAAATATATTATGTCTGTGATATTAAGAATACCACAGTGAGTTTTTTAAAAATCATTTTCAAGCCCACAAGCCATTTCAAAGGATTATGTAAGCATGTGCTTAAAGTAAGGACCAAATGGTTCAAATGTTCAGCTAAAATCATTGGGGTGGGGAGGATTCTGCCCCAGTACTTCCACTGACAATGAAACACTGGATCAAACAAATGACTTAACAGGCTCAGGTGGGCTTTGGCTTGCCTCTGGTTCAACACATCTGGGAAGCTCTTGGGACTTGTTGGAGAGTTCTTGCTTCCACATCATAGTTTTCTACATTCAGCGATCAAGGAGTTAGAAGCAGAGAGGCTCCTACTCATATCTAAACTCTGCACACAAATAAGAATGTTGGCAAACTGGTGTGCTTGTTCATGTGCAGAGGCTACAGGCAAGCAAGAACCTATTTTATTCAAGACTTCCACAGTCATTGTGTCTAGAATATGATGAAGACAGTGAGACTAGGTACAACCATCTAAGCATGTACAGTGGGGTCTCGACTTACGAACGGCTCGACATACGAACGTTTCGACTTACGAACCGTGCTCATAGGAATATATGGACTCGACTAACAAACTTAGATCCGAGTTATGAACTTTTTTCCCTTCTTTTAAAAGCTAAGTCATCTTAGGTTAAAAGGAAAAAAGAAAAAAAATATCCCCCTCTAGTGGCAGAAGGCAGAATAGCAGCTTCCCATTAGTTTCTATGGACGAAAAGAGCAGATACGGAGTAAATGGTTTTCAATGCATTCCTATGGGAAATGCAGATTCAACTTAAGAACTTTTCGACCTGAGAACTGCCTTCCAATACAGATTAAGTTCGTAAGTCGAGACCCCACTGTAGATGAAAGGAGATTACTAATGCCTGAACAGATTTATGCTGTTACCCAAGCTTTTGGGTGTCTTATAGTTACAAATAAGAACATAAGAGCCCTGCTGGATCAGGCCAAGGGCCCATCTAGTCCAGCTTCCTGTATCTCACAGTCGCTCCACCAGATGCCTCTGGGAGCACACAAGACAACTAGATACCTGTCTCCTTATACCACTGCCTTGCATCTGGCATTTTGAGGTACCTTCCTTTTAAGCCTGGGGATTCTGCATCCCATCATGGCTTCTGTGGCACTTGCCCTTGTGGCCCCTGCTTGTCTTTCCCTCACAAAGGCTCATGTCGCGTTTTCTTCTCACTGCCACCAGTGGATTACCTCAATCCACAATATAAATGACGTTTGTCAGAACACTTCTCTTGTGAACAGAAACAGAACTTATTTATTGGAGTGAAGCAGATTGAATAATAACGGACGTTCTTCAGACACACATTATACATAAGCAATTCATCAACAGTTCTCTAAGTACATACTGTATTTTATTGTGTACAAGATGACATTTTTCCTAAAATAATTAGAGGAAAAATTGAGGGTTGTCTTATAAACGGACGTGTGCGCGCGCGTTCGGGCGCCTCTTGCTGCTGCCACCCAATTGCCTCTTTCAGAGCTCACGGCTTTCCCCCTCCGTGGCCAAGGCAGCAGGAGGAGGAGGAGGTAGAGACGGAAGCAAAGGAGCATTCACACACGCTCCGCTCCGGCACCTCTCGCTGCCGCCGCCCAATTGCCTCTTTCAGAGCTCATGGCTTTTCCCCTCCATGGCCGAGGCAGCAGCATGCTATATCATTACCACCTTCTCCACCTATTCTCCTAACCAGCTCTATTTCTCTCAGTATCTGTTCCCTCTCTCTCTGACTAACTAACCCTATCTGACTCCTCCTTCTCCCACCAGGCCTCATGTAGCTGCTGACTCCGCCCCTCCAGTCCTCTCATAGTTTCATACAAATCAGCTCGTGCATATGAATGGCATGAGTGACGTGGGCGATTACTTGTGCATATGAATGGAATGAGTGACGTGGGCGATTGTCAGCTTGTAACCTGCGTTGGACCTTTCCTCCAGAAGTCTGTCCAATCCCCTTTTAAAGGCATATAGACCAGGTGCCATCACAACATTCTATGGCAAGGAGTTCCACAGATTAACAACATGCTGGATAAAGAAATATTTTCTTTTGCCTCTTCTAACTCTCCCAACACTCAATTTGAGTGGCTGTCTCCTAGTTCTGGTACTGCATAAGAGGGAAAAAAGAGCTTCTCTCTATGCATTTTATCTACCCCCTGCAGAATTTTATATGTCTCAATCATGTCCTCCCTCAGGCGCCTTTTCTCTAGACTAAAGAGCCTCAAATGCTGTAGCCTTTGATCATAAGGCTGGTGCCCCAGTTCAGTAATAATTTTAGGTGCTCTCTTCTGCATGTTTTCCAGTTCCACTATTCTTTTTTGAGGTGTGGCGATCAGAACTATACGCAATACTCCAGGTGCAGCCTTACCAGTGTTTTGTATAATGGCATTATAATGTTGGCTGTTTTATTTTCATTCCCCCTTTTAATGATATCTAGCATGGAATTGGAATTCTTCACTGCCACTGCACATTGGGTTGACACTTTCATCAAGCTGTCCACCAGCACATGAAAATCTCTTTCCTGATCCATCACAGTTAGCTCAGAACCCATTAGCCGATAAAGTTTTGATTTTTTTGCCCTAATGTGCTTTACTTTACATTTTCTTCTATTGAAACACATTTGCCATTTTGGTGCCCATCCTCCCAGTTTGAAGGGATCCTTCTGGAGCTCTTCACAATCCCTTTTGGTCTTCATCACCCGGAAGAGTTTTGTGTCATCTGCAAACTTGGCCACCTCACTGCTTATCCCTTTCTCCAGGTCATTTATGTACAGTTCGAAAAGCACCGGTCTCAGGACAGATCCCTGGAGCACACTGCTTTTCACCTCTCTCTATTGTGAAAACACAACTTGCCAAACTGAAGAACTGCTTATTATTTGTACAAAGAACTTTTAAGCATTTTCTGTTTTGATCCTTTCTCCTAGGCTTTTTCCTTTACTCTTGAGCCAAGAACTTGTGTCACACTTTCTACAGATTATATGCAACTGTAGCAATTAAATCTGTTGCATTCCCAACATTCTATGACAATAGGCTTATAGTTTTAGTTCATGAGTGAGGCATTTGGATGCATAACTAGGTCATGCTTTTAAAAAATTATGGCAATTCATATCTTACCTTTCTTTTCTCACTATCATAATCATCACCAAAGAACAAACAAAACCACACAAGATGGCTTGCAACACAATAATAATTATAAAATCAACATACTATAATGAAAATTAAATTCCATTACATTTACTAAAGAGAGCAGGGGAAGTTTAAATTTTCTTTCTCAGGACCAGGAGTGAATCTCATACAGGTAGCAAATACACTGGCAATTAGGACAGCCTGCATTGTTTTCAAGGTGCTTGTAAAACGACCGCTTTATAATTTGCTCCAGAATTTTGCATGGCATTGATGTCAGGCTGACTGGTCTGTAGTTCCAAGTTCCTCTTTTTTGAAGACAGGGATAACATTAGCCCTCCTCCAATCATCAGGCACTTCACCCATTCTCCATGATTTCAAGAAAATAATAGACAGTGGTTTTGAGATATTTTTGGCCAGTTACTTCAATATTCTTGGGTGCAGTTCATATAGTCCTGGAGATTTGTACTTTTCCAAAGAATAAACTATTTCTTGACTATTTATTTCTCAATCTCAAGCTGCAATCCTGCATACTTGCACTTTGCTAGGAGGGTCATTGGGGAGAAAAAGCTGAGTTAATGTAGGAACTGAGCACTTCTGCCTTATCTTTGTCATCTGTTACTATTTTTCCATTCCCACTGAGTAGCTGAGCCATTGTTTCTTTTCTCTGTATTTTGTTACACATATACCTGAAGAATACTTTTTTCTTGCTTTTAGCGTCTCTTGCTCATTCTCAGCTTCTGCCTTCCTAACACCATCCCTGCAATTCTTTGCTACTTTTCTATACTCTTTCTTTGTGGCCTTCCTTCCACTTCCTATATATGTTTGCTTTTATTTTCAAGTCTTCGCTGAGCTTTTTGTGAAGCTACATTGGTTATTTTCCCCTTGTTTCTGTCTTCCACCTTTTTGGAACTGCTTCTAGTTGTGCCTTTAGAATTTCCATTTTAAGAAACTTCCACCCATTTTGGATTCATTTTCTTATTAAGATATCCTGCCTTGGGACCTTACTTATCATTGTTAATATATCTGTTTAATGCTTTCAAAATATTTATTTATTTATTTATTTAT